TTGGTTCTTTAATCCATTTTTAATTTTTGTCTTTGGTGTAAGGTATGGATCTAGTTTCATTCTTTTGCATGTGAACATCCTGTCCTTTCCTCTTTAAGTAGTTTTGGCATCCTCATTGAAGGTCATTTGACCGTATAGACAAAGATTTATTTCTGGGCTCTTTATTCTGTTCTACTGGATGATTTTCCATCTTTATGACAGTACCACACTGTGTTTTATTACTGTCGCTTTGTAAATCATTTTGAAATAAGGAAGTGTGGAGTCCTCCAATTTTGTTCTATTTCAAAATTATTTTGGCTATTCAGGAACTGTTAATATACCATAAAATTTCAGAATAAACTTTGCAGCTTAACTTAATTCAACAATATTTCTTGGGGATTTATCCATATTAGTACATCTATATCTACATCAATCTCATTCTTTTAAAATGCTGCTTAATATATATAAACAGTGCCATGATTTACTTCAAACATTATCCATGATTGTCACATTGTTTCTAATTATCACTGCTTTTGACTGGGATTGCTTCAGTGTTCCTTAAATTTAAAATAAGTCAGTGGGCTTAGGTGCTTATTAATGGAACAGTCTTTTTAATGTCATTTTATTTGAATATAAACATCAATATATACTTTTTAAATTTATTTATTTTTAATTGAAGGATAATTGCTTTATAATATTGTGTTGGTTTCTGCCATATATCAGCATGAATTGGCCATAGGTGTATGTATGTCCCCTCCTTCTTTAGCCTCTCTCCCACTTCCCACCCCATCCTACCCCTCTAAGTTATCACAAAGCACTATGTTTGAGCTCCCTGTGATGTAGGAAATAGATGGGCTGCAGCTTAGACATTTTACAACTGGCCTCCTGTTTATATTTCATGGGGCACCAAGAAATGGGCTTCTCCCTGGATACTTACAACTGTTAGCATTTCTTGAGACAAGAGATAGGTGGGCTCCAGTTAAGGCATTTATAATCAGCCTCTTGTTTGCCCTCTGAAATGGAAGTAACAACAGAAACAGGGTAAATAGCCAGTATTTGTCTCTTGTAAACACCTTAATGTAATAGTCAGGGCAAGGACAGAGGGGCAAGATGCTGTTTGCGTAAAGGATTAAGAGATCCCCACTCCCACCTCTTTTGGGACAAGGGAGACACTACACATGCACAGAAAGGCTCCTTGTGGGTCAAAACATCAAGGGATGACACCAGGCCATAATGAGACTTGGTCCTCCCAGAAGCCTTTACTTCGAGATCCATCTTGGCTGAAAGGTGTATGTGCAACCAGGGGAGGGTCCCAGGGTAGGTCAGATGTGGAAAAAGAAACCAGATAATTGGCCTGAAAGAAGGCAAAGACCCAGAAGAACTGACCTTACATAAATGACTTTTAGCCGCTTTTTCACTGCACTCCTCCTCACTCGGGGAGATGCCCATACGCTTTCTCTCTGGGTGTGCATCTCTGCCTTGTTTTTATCTTAGTTAAACAAACCATTTCTCTGTATGCTTTCCTACTTGTTGTTGTGCTACATCTCTAATAATAAACTTTGCACCTGCATTTACAGTTTCTACTTCCGTGATAAATGCACTTTTCACCAGAGTCAGAAATCCAGGGAAAAATAACTTCTAGCCTCTAGCCCTTGCTGGTCTAGTGGCTAGGATATCTGGTTCTCATCCAGGCTACCCAGGTCCAATTCTGAGCAGGGAATTAAGAACTTGTTTTATTCCTCTACTCACTGCTACCTCGCTGAGATCACCTGCGTCATACAGTAAATTTCCACTGGCTATCTAAATTTACGTATGGTAACAATACATACTTATTACAGAAAACTATGTGCAGAAAAATACAAAAACAAAAAAATGTAAAATATTCATAAACCTACCAAAATGATAGGCAACACAACACAGATGTTGGAGATTTACAATACAGAGATTAAATCCTAGATCTTCCATTTACTGTGTAACCCTAGGCAAGTTACTTAACTTCTCTATACATAGTTTCCTCACCTATAAAATGAAGACAATCCACCTCTTGGGGGTTTGTGAGAATTAAACGAGATGGTAATTTGTATAGGGTTTACCACTATGTTCTACATCTATGCTATATTCTATACTATTGAATCTCTAGGGAAATGGGTAACTAAATTACAGTACATCCAAACAATAGAAATTTATGCAACCATTAAAAATAATGAGGTAGCTCTCTATATATACTGACTTGGAAATATTTCCCAGATTAAAATTAAAAAACATATGTAAGTAATTTAATGTTTTTAAAAGTGCATGTTTATATAGTGAAAGTTGCTCAGTCATGTCCAACTCTTTGTGACTCCATGGACTATACAGTCCATGGAATTCTATAGGTCACAATACTGGAGTGCGTAGCCTTTCCCTTCTCCAGGGGATCTTCCCAACCCAAGGATCAAACACAGATCTCCTGTATTGCAGGCAGATTCTTTACCAGCTGAGCCACAAGGGAAGCCTGCATGTTTGTATACATATGTATAAAAATGTACATAAGCCTGAATATTCATTGGAAGGACTGATGCTGAAATTGAAGCTCCAAAACTTTGGTCACCTGATGTGAAGAGCCGACTCACTGGAAAAGACCCTGATGCTGAGAAACATTGAGGGCAGGAGGAGACAAGGATGACAGAGGATGAGATGGTTAGATAGCATCACTGATGCAATGGACATGAATTTGAGCAAACTCCATGAGAAAAGTGAAGGACAGGGAAGCCTGGCATACTACAGTCCACAGGGTCACAAAGAGTAGGACACGACTTAGCAACTGAACAACAATATAAAAATAGTTTGCATAGTGTAATATACATATAAAACTAAAGTCTAAATTGTTACCCACTAAACTGTAAAAATGGTTTGGGGGAAGCAGTGTAGAGAAAGAAATGAAAAGGGAAATTTCACTTGCTTTTTGCATTTATGAACTGTGAACCTGTTACAATGAAATACACCAATTTGCAATAAAGAGGCTTACATTTTTTTGTTTTTTTTTTTTTACTCTAAAGAGAAATTCTAACTGTAAAGAGAATTAATATCTTTCAATTATAGAATTGCTTCACAGAACATTCCACCTGTTGTTTTTTTGAAATTTGACAATTCCTTATGAAGAACAATTTAAATTAAATATAGCAAATAGGTCACCTAAAACCTTCTAACTAGGCTCATCTCAAAGTAATATCAGGAGAGGTTTACATTAATGCAGCTCTGCAGGAGGACTTGTGAGGCTGACGTGAATCTTCTGACCTACCTCAAGAGATCAACCTTGCATAGAGTAACCACCATCTAAGCCTCTCCTGGCTTTTGTTAACCGGGGCCTTCTGGCTCACTTGAAATGAGGCAGAGCAATCCATGTAAATCTACTAACCTCAGGTGCCCAAGGCCATACAAATTAACCATTATGATCATGGTCTTTCCATAATGCTAAAGGAAATCAACAGTGAGGGAAAGGTTACTTCCACAAACTGTGGGACTTTCCATTGAGAAATGAAATATTTCCTGCCATATCAGTAAATAAGAATGTCAGAGTCATCAGCAATTTCAACCCTCCAACATGAGCTTAAGGGCACTCCAGAAGGAGAAAAATACCTGCAGTCTAACAGCCATCAGATTGCAGCCACTCGAAACAGCGAACCCAAGGGAGTTCCCAAGAGAGCAAAGGATACTGGCCCCAGGATAGTTGAAATGCACACGAAAGAAGTGATTTCAATAAGCCCAGAAGCTTGCCTCTTCCCATATTTAGAAAAGCACTAAATTCTTTAAACTGGGATATATGAAATGAAACAAAATGAAATGAAAGTGAAGTCGCTTAGTCGTGTCCAACTCTTTGAGACCTCGTGAACTTTAGCTTAGCAGGCTCCCCTGTCCGTGGGATTTTCCAGGCAAGAATACTGGAGTGGGTTGCCATTTCCTTCTTCAGGGGATCTTCCCGACCCAGGGATAGAACCCTGATCTCCCGCATTGCAGGCAGATTCTTTACCATCTGAGCCACCAGGGAATCCCTGGGATATATGGTTTTCTTTAATTAACAATAATCTTTCAATGTTCAGACTACTTGCCCTTTGTTGCAAAGCTTCCATATAACCTGGCTCTTCCCCTCACCTAATCTGAGCACTTCACTCAGGGTTACTTGAGATGCTTTTAGGATTTTAAGTCCCCCACACTTAAAGTCCTAAAAATTCCCACTGAATAAAATATATCTCTCAAATTTTAGGTTGTGATTATTTTTTAAGACAACACCATAAAAGTTAAGATGCTGTCATAAATTAAAATAAAAGAATAGTCATTTTCAGTATTTCCTTGAATTATGTTTGTAGATCAAGAAGAAGCTTCTAAAAACAATTACATTTATGCACTGGAGAAGAGATGAAAATTAAGAAGAACCAAGAGCGTCTTTTAAAATAACTTCAGAGAGCTAGCACAATGTAATAGCTGCAGATTACTTTATAACTTCACAAATGAAATTTACTCTTTCACAGGCAACATGGAAATCCCCAGGAACAATTCTTATAAAACTCAATTGAGGAATTCATTGGAAGGTGAAACCAATCAGATGAAGGGGGCAAGGGAGAAGATTAGTAGGAGAAATATGAGCTCATAAAATAGTTCAAGTGCAGGGAAAAGTTCAGCTTCATAAACTTTTATTAATCATGGGACAAATTGAAATCTGAGACCAACTAGGCCAGTTTGTCATTGTTTAGTAGCTGAGTCATGTCCGACTCTTTTGTGACCCCATGGACTGTAGCCTACCAGGCTCCTCTGTCCATGGGATTTCCCAAGCAAAAATATTTGAGTAGGTTGCCATTTCCTTCTCCCGTGGATCTTCCCAACCCAGGGATCAAATCTGCATCTCCTGCATTGGCAGGTGGATTCCTTACCACCTGGGAAGCCCAACTAAGCCAGTTAGGGTAGTATAAAACACAGTGAAGCAATTCAAAGCAATTATACTGAAAATCCTAAAATGACTCCAAGAGAAAGAATAAAAGTCAATATCTAAGCAATGTTCTTACAAGTCATTTACTTTTTATGAGCAATGAAACAGCAGTAATAAGCAAAAAAAGCGATGTCTGATAACCTTACAAAATTGTCTTTTAAATGGCATTGCTAGTGGAAAGGTGCCATCTGGTTAACAGATATAGTGAAGAGCTGTTTGGACCATTCAGACCATGCGGGGCCAGCTGGATGGTTCCTGGGTCGTCAAGGTGCCACATCAGTCCTAGATGAGAGAGAAATAAGATTCTATCTGATTAAAGTCATTGTTACATAAGGTCTTTGCCCCAGGAGCTGAACTTGGATCCCAACTAATATTGATGAAGTATGATTTACGGAAGAAATTGAAGGGTTATTTCACCTGTAAAACAAAGAATTGTGCTCCCAGAACATGGTGTTCTTACCAAGACATTACAATCCAATTAGCTGGACATTTCTCTCCAAAGTTATCATCCATGCTGCAAGAGAGGTGTGTGAATGAGCTGTCCGTACAGTGTGTGTAAGCTGTCAGGTCTTATGGGCCATATGGAAGGGTTTCATTCAAAGGATGACTAGATGGTCCAAAGGAGGGTTTGGGGAATGAGAGACAAGAGTAGAATAGTAGATGTCAATTAAGAGGGTGATTGCAGTGGTCCAGGAGAGAAGATGTGATGGATGTGATGAGATAAACATGGAGGTCACGAAGGAGCAGGGCTCCTGCTCAGGGCTGGGGGTCGGAGTACGACAGCCCAGCAGTGCAGTGCTATCTCCTGCCTCACCTCCAACAACCCTCTTTTTTACCTTCTACCTCCCAGCTGCACCTGACAAGAAGATGAGAAGCCTAAACCTGGAGCCAGACTGTCAGGACCCAACCCCAGTTCTGCCACTTACTAGGTATACAACTTTGCATAAGTTACATTAATTTCTGTGTGGCTTCTCTATCTTTCCCATGTGTAAAATGGGGATAATACTAGTATCTATCTCTTAGATTGCTATGAGGATTAATGCTTTTTTACTTGTAAAATGCCTAGAAAAGTGGCCACCATCTGGCATGATAAGCATCAGGAACTATTATCTGGTCATATCATTAAACATTCTCAACATCTTGAATATGCTGAATCTCCCTCACTTCTAAACTTGTCACTTCTCTCTCCTATGCCTGGAATATAGCACTTTAATTTCAAACTCAACTTCCAACTCTCAGCCTCCAAGTCATTGCCTCCAGGAGATCTTTTCCTATCCCCTAGACTAGATTCAGTTCTCCTCTTGTTTCTTGCCCTATTACCCTACACTTCCCCTCCAGCAATGACCCCCCCCCCATCATATTTTACAATAGTCACTTGTTCTGTTGTTAAGATTTTCCTACTAGATCAAAAACCACGAAGAGAAGAACTATTCTTAATTGTTTTGTTTTCACCTATATCTTTAAAGCCAAGCACAGTGCCTGGAAAACAGGAGGCATTAAATAAATACTGAAGAAGTCTATTCACCTTAGCAACCTTCTAATATTAGCAAAAGACCCCAAAGTAGAGAATGTAGCAACCATGCACCAGAGCCACATTATGACTTCCTTGAATCCTAGCACTTTTGTCTTCATGGGCCCTCATTCTGCATAAAAAATACATATATAAAAAGGGTATTTTTAAACTGCCTTGGCATAAAGATGAATATAACCTGGACTAGATTCATTATTATATATTCATTGTTATTATATCCATTTTTAAAATTCTAATTTTAAGGGAAATTAAAATTTTTAAACATTTTTGAAGGCCTAGGCATTGTGCCCACTATGCATAATAGGTAAGTTGCCACACAGTGTCAGCAATGGAAGGATTAAAGCCATGAGAAAAATAAAAACAAACTGTAGATATACAGAACAGAGTAGTGGTTACCAGAAGGGGAAGGGTGGGGAGGGTGAAATGGTAAAGGGGGGTCATCCATATTCACACAGATGGAAACTAAATCTTTGGTGATGAGCAGACTGTAGGGTATACAGAAGTAGACATATAATGTTGAATACATGAAATATATAATGTTATAAGTCAATGCCACCTCAATCTTTAAAAATCAATTCTAAAAATAAAAAGTAAAAAGTAAAACAATGGAGAAAGCCAGAAGAGAACAAAGGGAAGGACAGAATCTGAAATTAGGCTGACTTCCAGGATGAGTCAGACCATGTAGCTATAAATCAACTAGAATGCTTTCAGCAGCAAGTAATAGAGTTCTGATTCCAACTCACTAAACAAGCAACAGGACTGTTCAGAGATATGGCTGAGTCTGGCTTAGTTAATCCAATGACTCAAGTGTCTGCAGAGTTTCAGGTCCTTTCTAATTCTCTATTCTTCTCTCTAAAGTATTGGCTTCATCCGAAGTCAGGTTCCCCTTATGGTCATCAGATAATTGTCAGCACAAATGGAGGCAACATCTTCCTGGTTTATATCCAGTGAGACAGCAGAGGAATTTTAGTTCTTCCCTGTAGTCTGACTGAGCCAACTTCAGTCATGTTCCCAAATGGACCAATAATTCCCTGGAGATCATCCTAGCTGATCTAGCAAATCAGGATCCACGGAGCCAGGACTACAGCATACGCAAGGCAGCATCAGGGAGTAGGGAATATCTGATAATGCATTCCGCAGCTCTGGAAACATCTCAAGAGTTGAAGAGTTACAGAAAGAGCTATCACACATGCAGTACATAAAAAATATTTACATCAAGGATATAAAGAATTTACCTCAAGTATTAAAAAGGTCAAGGGATCTTTCTGGCAAGGAAGGATCTTAAAGGAGAAGATTTGTGGAAGTGTTTTTAGAGGAAGCTGTGCTGTGACCCTCATCCCCAAACCCCTCCCCTTAAGGGATGAAAAATAGAGGTGGGCAAAGACATGCCTTCCTGCCTCAAACCTCGGTGAGTGGGGATTACACAGGGCACCACAGAGAGCATAATCAGTTCAGTCTAGTCCCTCAGTCATGTCCAACTCTTTGCGACCCCATGGACTGCAGCACACCAGGCTTCCCTGTTCATCACCAACTCCTGGAGCTTGCTCAAACTCATGTTCATCGATTTGGAGAGTCCACGAGTCCAACCAACCAACCCCATCCAACCATCTCATCCTCTGTCATCCCCTTCTCCTCCTGCCTTCAATCTTTCCCAGCATCAGGGGCTTTTCCAATGAGTCACTTCTTTGCAAGAGGTGGCCAAAGTATTATAGTTTCAGCTTCAGCATCAGTCCTTCCAACAAATATTCAGGACTTATTTCCTTGAGGACGGACTGGTTGGATCTCCTTGCAGTCCAAGGGACTCTCAAGAGTCTTCTCCAACACCACAGTTCAAAGGCATCAATTCTTCGGCACTCAGCTTTCTTCAC